AAGGCACTTGTTACTAGTTCGGAAATGGTGGACCGTGGATCCCGTCCCGAGGGTGGCAATCCTGTCTCCGCTCTATATGGTGATTTTACTCCCTTTGACTCTCCGGGGGACTGAACAGGTGCGATAGAAGTGACAGAAGTGACAGAAATTCATTTTTTAAAGTTAATTCTAATAGCTTCTTGTTACTACTAGTAAGGCGCCTGTTACTAGTAGCGTGGCACTTGTTACTACTAGTAAGGCACCTGTTGGATGACAAATCTCAGGACCCGGGAGGAGATCAAAAGGGATGCCTCTCCTCACCGTTCATGGGCCATTGCTATTAGGTTGGAGGCCGCTCCTAGATTTTTCAGGCCATTGCTCTGAGGTTGAAGGACATTGCTATTTGCTAGTAGGTTGGAGGCCATCGCTTTTAAGTGGAGAGAGGAGGTTTGCATGGAATGGTCTGGGACGGAATGCTGAAGCCATGGGTCTTCCTTCCTCATGAGGAAGACCTCCTGCACCTGTGGGATCCCCTGTAGGTGGCAAAGGTGCTTTCTCATCGACTTGAAATTCTCTGCAGCACCCTGCTGGTGGCTTTGCTGTTGTATTTGCTGGATCTGGTCATAGGCCACTCGATCCGGTCGGAGGTTTTCTGGTCACCAATGATCACGAGAAGCTACGAACGGAGCAAAGGGCATTGCTACTAGTAGCAAGAAGCTACGTTCGGGGCTCCTGGCCTTACTAGGAGCGATCGGACGCTACAAGTAGCTCCTGGCAGAGCAGGCACCCAAGACGCGGAACTCGATCTTCGCCCATAAGTGCCAGCTCGTCGATCGCAGGCGCCTGGGCTGGGAGCTTTGCGGTCGTGGTGATTGACTTCAACTTATTCTGGCTGATGGGCTTCATGGCCTCTTCCCTCATCCTGGGCTTTCTGGTGCCTTGGCTTATTGGCTTAGGCCAAGCAGTGAAAAAGGACAAACACATCGAGCTTGGAGAAACATCATCTCGACTATTTGGGGGCCTGCCAAACGGGTGGTGGAAGAGCATTTCTGAAGCAACTTGGCGTTCAACTGGAATGTGGTACAACGCATAAACCAATTGTCCGAGTGGATTAGAATACCCCTGTTTGTAGAGGAACGTCGATTTCAAACCTCCATGATTCTCGGAGGGTGCATCATGCTCATCACGCTCTTACTCCGCGCGGGGCCTCATCGCATGATTCTATTTGCACGTCGGTGAGCCCTCCAAAAAGGTGCCCTCAGAGGGCGACGTGCCTCCCTTTTCGATTCAACGGGTGGTGTCGACAGACCCAGCTGAGACCGGACTCCTTTCAAACGACTCGGGTTCAGTTGTGGGTTTCTGGAGGGTTGGTCACACAACTGAACCCGAGCCCCCGAAGTTTTTGGATCAGGGACTTGGGTGACTTGGGTCCTGAAGTGTTCAGACTTATTTTACTGTTAGATCATTTACTGCAGCACCTCCGCTTGCGGCGGCACGTTCCGGAAACCGGACCGGAGGGACGCAGGCCCCACGCCGCGTTGACCCAACTCCTTCGGTCTCGATCACGCCGATCACGAGGTGTGGCACTTGCACTTCGCTCGGCGCCCGTGAAGCGATGACCGTCGTCAAGTCGTGAAGCCGTTCGGATCGGCGGAAGCGGCCGACCCAGTGGTCGCCGGTGCTCTAAGACCAAACGGGTCGGGCGCAAGTGCGTTGCAAGATCTTTTGGGGGTTACAAACCACTGGTAGCTTTTCAAGATTTTGTTTCACCGCAATGCCTGCATGGTTTTCGATTCAGATCAACATCGACTTTGAACTTCTCACCCACACTATGGCGGCCGATGTCGGGCAACTTGTCCAGGTGGATGACAAAAGTCACAAGTGTGAGGTTTTTCGACCCAGACTATGCCAAAAGCCTTTGACCACTAAGCACGAGAAATTCTGCTTGGAAGCTTTGCGGATTTGATTCCTGCATCAAGCAGACGCTGGCAAAGATCTCACAGTCGTTCGTTTTTTTAATTCCAAAAGACGCTTAGGACGCGACCAGGTCGCGAACGAAAAAGTCCGAAGGTCGCCGAGTCCGAGTTTTTTGGTGCGAGGCGCGTGACGCAGATCGTGACCCGACGAGTCCCCTGCGGACGAGTGGTCTATTTACACCTCTTCGTATTTGTACGGATCCAAGATGCACAAACGAGGGAACATGCCGTCCTTTGAGATCTCTTTCAATTCCCAAGTCAGTCTCAGTTCTTCACCAATTCACGATCGTCTTTGACTAGAATGTTGGATGAATCTCTCCATAGGATGAGCAGAGAGCCCAACTCCGTGGTGAAAGAAGGCATGGTTTTGTGACGTGATTGGAGGCTTCGACCACAGAACCTATTGCGGATTCGGCATAGCATCGTTGACTTCCGAAAACACCCGTTCTCCTGCGTCGGCCCCTAGAACCTATTTTGTACTAGCAATGGCCTCCAACCTAATTGTAGTGGCCTCCAACCTACTTGCGAACCTATTTCTCTTCTTCTTTCAACCAGCCAGGATGGGCTGTACTTGAGCTCTTCAGTGTGTGTCGTCTGGGTGCCCAGTGCCAAACCAGTGCCCGTTGGGGTCAGGTTAAGTGTAGTGTATGTTGCTGTGGAAAAGGGATAGTTCCTGTCATATGCTGGATTCGTTCCATCTCTTCGCCAATTTTTCTGAGAAAGTCTGAGATTTCACAGCATCTTTGCTAAGCTGTGCTCGGGTTGTGGATTCGCGGCGAAGGTCCAAGATTGAACCTGAGGCATTCACCATGCCACAGCCCGTGAACATCCAAACAAAGCTTATGATCAGTTGCACTTCTTGTAGTTCCACTTCACATACTTCACTGGATTCCTCGTCATGGGAAGGAAGAACGTCCTCCAAAACCTGATCCAAATCCTCCGTGACGGAGTTCCCCATCTCCTACAAATGTTCCCCTGGAAGCGGCAAGCGCCTCGTCATGCTTGGGCAACTCTAGGCGAGTCTTTGCCGTGTCGAAAGCTGGTGACTGGAGGAAAGACAGGAGATGTTTTGCCCTGCTTCCAAGATATGCTCTTGGATGCAGAATTTCTGTGTGGCCAAGTGGCTTGGAGTGTCTTGATCCTCATTTTGATCCTCATCTCGTCTCATCTCAAGGACAATCGAAAAGGGTCACTGGGCTTTATTTTTCAGGACCGAAGGTTTTTGTGCGAAAGGTGTATATATAAGCACCTGCATACCCTACTGGCATCTACTAGCACCATCATGTAAATCCACACTTTGCAGGGGGGAGGCTGTCGCTCTTAGGTTGGAGGCCATCGCTTCTAGGTTGGAGGCCATTACAATTAGGTTGGAGGCCATCGCAGGGAAGCTCAATGACCCGAAGCGTTTGACCCTAACTTGCTGTGACGGTTGACTATAGCAAGTTCGACCACATCGGATGGTCAAGCACGCGAAGCGATGCCTGATTCCGTCGGACGAGTTAGTGGGGTCAGCCAGAAGGCTTTTACTCCACACTTCAGTCAGATTGGTTGACTCGGGATTTTCAATATGTGGCAGGCCAGAGGGACAGGATGTCCATGATGAAAGCATGTGTTCGTCCCAAAGCGTTGGGAGAAAGGAAGACTCTCGGAACCCACTTCAAAGCGTTTTGGTGCTTCACCCCTGAGACATGATGAAGATCTGAAGAACACGATGGCGGCGGCCGACGAAGTCAGCATGGTTCCGCATTCCTCGATCGGCTGAGATGTGATCCACATCGGTGCCATTTCGACCATCGGAGTGAGAGGAGGATTGAGTCCTGGGGTTTCGCTCTGCAGGAGACTTCTCGACCAAGAACTCCCACCCAGTGGATGATTCGGATGAAGTAACCTTCGCCCTTGGTGATTCTGGGCCTTGCAGTCCCATAGAAAGAAACGTCTAAGTCAACAGGCTCACATCGAGTTTATGACCGCAGAAGCGTTGAGGAAGACTAAAACGACTAAACACTTGAATCAAGTCTTGGCACGTTGTGCACGTTGTGCAGGATTGGCATCTCCGGTTGATCGAAGTTGAGCGCTTGCTACCAGTAGTAAGAATGCTGCTAGTAGCGATGCCAGGAGCCCTAAAGTAAGCGTCCTTGCTTCCAGTAGTAAGGCCAGGAGCCCCTAGTCGCTTCTTGCTACCAGTAGTAAGAATGCTCCTAGTAGCGATGCCAGGAGCCCTAGTA